AAGAGTAATTCATGAATACACATAGACTGCAAGTGTATTCCATATTTTACAAAATAAGTTCTTATTCTATTTTATGGAGGAGACATCTGCACCTCTTCCCATTCCTGGCTTCCTTCTGATTGACTCCTCCCTTTATTCCATTCTCCTTCCTCAACAGAAGAAGCTGTTAATCTAGTGGTGAGATCAGAGTCTCTGTGGGGCTACATGATATAATTCACAGGTTCTGCCCTAAGGGCAGGATCCCATCTGCATCTTTTCATTATCAGGGTCCAGTCCAGAAAGGCAGACAAGGTTTTCGCTTTCTCTAAATCTCTTTGGCTAGGTGGGTTCCTGTGGAAGTGATTTCTCAGCCCAATCATCCTTTTTGTCAATACCACTCTGAACAGCACAACAAATAGCCTTATTCCAAATTTATAGGCAGTAAAAAAGGTCAGATAGCAACGGAATCCTAAACTGCAATGCGTTGCAGACTTTTTTCAATATCTGCTAATTGTTATTGTGCTAGTGCAGACACTCATTAAAATTAACTCCTTTCTGATAATATCTGTAGTGTATACAGTGCCCTCAGGAAATCTGTTAGTAATAGCATCAAAAGACAGGGCAGAATTTGGTGATTTCTGTGTACATGCTTTCAATACCATGATAATATCAAAACTTCACTGCACCTTTTCAGTATATTTGTTAGGATCACACTGTTAATGTCAAAGTTAGTATAAATGAAAACCCACCTCTTTACTATTGTAGCATTTTCCATGTATCTTTTAGTTTCTAATGTGATATCTGAGATAAATAGAACTATCCTAACAGTTAACTCTTTGGACAGAAAATTTGTGCAGCTATGCTCTTTCCAAAGTTTAACAGAGTCATTCAGTATCTGTCCACCACTAGGCACTTTATCTAACCTTTTGTGGGATATGGGCAAGGGCTGAAGCAATCACATTGGCCCTTTCTTCTGTCATGTTACTGATCATTGACCCCAGAGTAAACACCACCACACCGTTCTCTCCAGAGCTCTGGACAAAGTCTTCCATGTCCTGTGAAGAAAGAATGTGTTCCATCACAAACGGGTATCAGTATAAGAAGCATATTTGAAAAGATTGTTAAAACTTCTAAGAAAAGAAAACTGAGTATTATAGAGAAACAATTATTAGAGTAAGTGATATTTTTAGCTGAGCTAATCAGTACATTTATATGGAAAGAAATGTGTAAAATAAGATAGATGGCTTCTATTGTGGGTATTTGTGCAAATATGTGGTTGCATGTGTATGCATATGTGTATCTTCATGGGAGAAAGAAATGAAGTAGAGCTATTATAATGTAGATTGGAGAGATTATGCTAGAAAATATTATACCAAGACTCTTCATTTATATTATCATGTTTACTAATATAGATGACTAAATGTGGCTTCACTTCGCTTTAATTTTATGTGGTTGTAGTTCTAAACCCCTTTTGTTCATGTCAGACATTTTTCTGTGTTATTTTTTTAATTTCGTGCCATTAGAATAATTTTATGATTATGAAAAGGAGGAAATGTTACTAATAGTTGGGATAATTTTATGTCTATATTTCTTTTTTATACCTCACTTAAAGTTTTTCAGAGTTTTCAAGTCTTTTCCCCTAAGACACACACACATACTCACACACACACACACAAATACCAATACACTAAATAGCTGAAGGTTAAGAATCATTGATATTCAGAATTATGATTCTGTGGTTTGGAATTTTACTGAAATAGCCCTAAGGATTTCATTTATGATACAGAATTTTCTGGTGTATAGTTACATAATTGAATGTTCACATTTCTCGGGTCATTACTTAATATGAGGCAATTTTATCCTCAAATTACACTGTTAAATTGATGTGCTATCTATAACCAGCTGAAGGGACTGTTATTATTTCCTCACTGTGTCCGCCAGAGAGCACCTTTGCCACAATGTCTAGAACCACGAGGCCGTTCTGTCATGGACATGTGGTCACCCTCTTGAGTAGCTCAATCACACTATATAAAACTCCTGGTGAATATGTGCTTATTTGGACTTGATGGAGAATTATTCCGATTTGAGATTTCAATTCTGTGCCAATTTTTAAATTTTAATACATTCTATATAGGAATAATTCTAAATTGCTCAATATATTCTCCATTCAAAGACAAAACAAACCAACCAAAAGAAGCAAAGAGGAAAAAAATTTACAAGCAATAAATGTAGAACTAAATTTTTCCTGAATATCACATCAAAATCAAATACTCTTTTTTGTTATTGTTTCCTTCATATTAAATTAAGCAATTGTTTCTTTCTTTGTGTAAAATAATGATCAATTCCCTCCAACATAACAAGTATACTTTTATATGTTAATCCTTGGGGTGAAGCTTCTGCTTAAATCTGTTGTGTACAAAAATAATTCCCAACTTTGAAAAATATAGTTTTAACCAAATGACATCAGTTTTAATATGAGGGTCACTGTACTATTAATACTATTCCATGTAATACGTGGGGCATCCAGCTATTCTGTGTGATTCAAGTTACCTGAAGCGACATTTTGTGTAACTTGTGCTCAATGATTTTCTCACTGTCTCACTGCCAAAAAAACCCTTCTTCATCCATTCAGTATAGAAGTAGTACACCTTCTACAGAATCATTACTGATCTCATTCTGTGACATCTTTATAAAAATATACAAGATCAATTAAGAAATCTGATAACAGTATGAAAAATTAAAAAAAAAGACATTGAGTTTCACCCATACTCTCTGCCAAGAGATATTCCCAATTTAAAGTTTCTGTGCTTTCATTATGATTTTTATTCTGTTTATATAGCTCAATGTATTTATGTGACATATGTTTACAAAATTTTATATAAATTTTTGTCCTAGAAAAAATTGTGATCTTGTTCTTTTCGTCATTTGTTCCTCAGTTTCCAAACAAACTTGAGTTATGGCTAAGTATTTTTTTGTGAAATTATTGTAGTAATATGGTACACACAGAGTATAAGTTCTTTATCTTTTCTAATGTAAGATATTTAAATTACTTCCAATATTTATTTTATGAATATCTGCCATAAATATTGAATCTGCACATCTTGATTTCTTTTTGGTTTATATAGTTTGATGTAAGTATACTGTGAAACCAACAGCTATATACATTTTTAAAACGGTTGATATATTTTCCTGAGTGTTTTACTATTTTAAAATACACAGGTATTTTCTCAGAACTTAATATTTAATGGAAAAGTAAGCAATTTTTGGCAACAATTACATAATAATTAGAGAATATATTTCACAACTATTGACTTGAATTTAAATCATTATGCAGATTGCTAGCAACAGCTATTATTAGTACTTATCATTTTATTACTAGTTATCCTTTTCCTTAATTATCGTCCCTCTCCTACTCTCTTCCCTCTCTTACTGGCACAATCATCTTACCTAAAAGTAAATGGGCAGAATTTTCATTAATCTTACCTGTCCTTTTGTCACTTGTGAAAGTTACCATAAGCGATTTTCATTCAACATAAATATTGGGTTTTATCTATGAATAAAATTTCAATTTTATGTTGGCGCTAACAAGGTATACAAAAAAGATCATATAATAGTGCAATAAGAAAGCTTGCTTTTCCTTTAGTCCTAAAAGTATGACATTAAAGTAAAATATATTTGGTTATATATTCCCTCATAAGGAATATTATTTTATATGCTGGCAGAATTCTTTGCAAACTAAATCTAAGTTTACTTTTTAATACACATTGTAGAATTTATTTGGTCTGTATTATATATAGAATGTACATTATCTCTGTGCTTCTCAAATAGGCAATTATGATGTTGAAACAAAAGTTTCCCCAGGGAGCTTTACTGAGGTATCCTATAGACTTGGCCTAAGACAGCAAACACCTGTTCTGATAAAGTAAACCATCCCTTTTATGCTGTAAGAGGTAAAACTCCGGGATCTCAGTGAGGAATGATTTAAATGCTGGAGTGAAACAAGTGAACATTAAGTTTTGCTGAAAATATTTTGGGGGCGCATCTACATTGTTGAGGAATGGTGTTCCTTTACAGCTAGAATAATGATGAAGAGTCTCAACTCTTACAATAAATAAACAAAACCAAACACATAGGAGTATGTTCACCTTAGGCAGAGGTTTGGCAGGTTTGCAATGGTGTCCTCCAATGAAATCATAATTTGGTAAGAGTGGGCGAGGAAAATCAAAGTCCCAATAGGTTCGAATAAGCCACATATCAGCTTTCTTCATTGTCTCATAGAACGTAGTGGGTCTACCTGAAGGGGAGAAAGAAAAGAAAGCATAGATGACACAAGAGAGTTGTCATGAGAATATAAAAGTAGTTTCCTGAAAGAAATTGGAACAATATAGCCAAAGATATATAAAGTGTGCTTTGATATAACAAATACGTTCAAGTGTTAAGATACAGGAATAATTTAATTCCTATGTAATATATATTTTACCATATGTATGTATGTATAAGGAAAGCAAAGTGTTAAGAGAAGTTTTAGAGGAGATATGTCTCTAATGTCAGATCAATTTATTCAGAATCATCAATAATTTTTAATGTAAGCCACTATGGAATTACCCATAAACAAATTACCCATTTGTTTATTTTCTAAAGCTGAAGAAGTAACACATACACATTTAAGCAACTCTTGGAGTTCCACTACCAATTAATCCTACCAAACTCATAAAATTTCATTCTAATATGAACTCAGTTTGATTTCAATTCATGAAGCTAGTCTCATGATCCTTGTTTCTCCCAGTTTATCAAGAGTTTTTTGAATACATGGTTGAAATACTAGTACCTACTACTACTTTTGGTTGATGTGAAGATCTTAATAATATTAGTATTTTAATAATAAATGTATTTGGCTCGGCACGGTGGGTCATGTCTGTAATCCTAGCACTGGGAGGCTGAGGAGGGAGGATCACTTCAGCTCACTAGTTGGAGACCAGCCGGAGCAAGAGTGAGATCTCGTCTCTATTAAAAATAGAAAAAAATTAGTCAAGAATGGTGATGAGTGCCTGTAGCCCCAGGTACTCAGGAAGCTGAGGCCGGCGGATTGCTTGAACCCAAGAGTTCGCAATTGCCATGATCTAGGCTGATGCCACAGCACTCTAGCCCAGGTGACAGAGTGAGACTTTGTCTGAAAAAAAAAATACTACTCATAATAAGGATATTTACGACGAATAGCTAGAAATTTTCAAAAATTACAGAAATGGATAGCTTTTGCTACCCCTTCATTTGGATGATCTTTTACTTAATGTAGTTATATAATTTAATAAAATATAGACACAGACTTGGATGTTCACACATCAGTAAGATTTTAGGCCTTAAAACAGATAAGCCCCAAGCCCTTACTGAAGGAACATAGAAATGTAGTAACCTCAAATTTTAGATATCCATTTCTGCGATAGAACCATCTCTCATCTGTGAAGAAATTCTTCTGGTTATATAGAAAAAAATTTTTAATTTTGAAATAGGAAAATTAAGGTATTCAAGGAGAAACAAATTCTTCAATGCTACATTGATCGCCGTACTAGAAAAATGTATAACTCCTCAATCTACACATCTACCTTCATCAAGCTGTTTCTTGATGCATCTATTAACTTGCATTAGAACATGCAAATAATGTATAGTAGGTATGAGATTGTTTAAAAAATCCTAACTGTCTTAGCTTATATATTTATGAGTTCATGGAGTTTCCTGTATCAATTTTAGACACAAGGTTCTAAATGATCCTATAATCTTTCCTAATATTTGTGAGATTGATAGATCATCTATCTTTTCATTTTATATTTGCATTTACTAAACATGTTCTCTTCTGACTTCATATTCATACAAGCTCGCCTTCCAAGGTACAAGGAAAAGTAGGAATTAATAACCACCAATTAAAAA